CATCTGTTCGTATGCTAAGCCCATACCTGTAAAATACACAACCGCACTTAGCGAATTTTTTTCCATTCGCTGTTTGATTCGGTACAAAATTAATGTGTGGTTTCTGGAACCGCTCTCACTCGATAAAGTTTTTGGAAGGAAAATATATAATCAACAATAATTCGCGTGCACCTTCCGCAATATCATTAAAAACACAATTAAACAAAGTTGTAGTCGCTACCACAACTAGCGGTAAATAAATCCCGTTGTCTACAAGTTTCGATTGGTGTCCATGCCAAAGCCCGGGTGGCACTTTGTAAGGAATAATTAATACTTGCTGAATTAGTCCCACTGGCGTTAATGCTTGAGGCACCTGTGCATCGGCGACCTGATGATGGGATTCAGTGATCACACTCATTGTTTGACGCAGCAAGGTTAAAGCCAAAGAGGAGTCTATACTAGCCAATCGTTGAATAATGAAGTACAGACTAGAGACCTAGGATGAAACGACCATGTGGGTCCACAAGCATGCAACAAGGTCTGGTGAGCGGATGGGTACTTGGCGTCAGATTCGCCCATTTGAAGCACCAACTTCTAAGTTAGCTCTGCTTATGCTTCTCGATACGGATATCGTGAAGATTAATATAATCAAAAGATCCGTCGTCCTCATTATAAGTCGTACCCAACCCATACTGAACCACAGTAGCAGTCCCACCACCCAGGGGCTCCTTTCCCTGAAACCGATCATGTAACTTGCGTTCGTCAACCGACACTTTCTGTGACGTTCAACATCCGGTTATGTATAAACAGCTTCCACATATCAGACACAAACTTTTTGAAGCCGTTTGCTATTTCAGACTATTTTGAGGCTCCTTTCTATTCCTGTTTGTGCCCCATCGAACTCATCGTTCATAGCAAAGTATTTCAACCCAGCTTCACTTCAGCCATCATGTCTATAATATCCGAACAAATAAGCCACTGTGACGGCCAAACATGACGTGATATGTCTGTCCCTGGTAATGACAATGGACCAGCTGGGAACTGCATGGATAATTTTTTGCACTGACCAGGAAACACACGATTTAAGTCACATCCACCGCAATACCACTCTACCAGCTTTCGTCCTTTAAGTGGTCCTCTGAAGCTACGCGCTGGTCTTTAGTTGGCATAGCACTTGACACTTCGGTCCCGCCAACCAATAAATACTCTGCTGGCCTGTTTTCACAGCTCTTCTCCTTGTTCAGCTGCAAATCGTATGTTTTGTAACGGCAATATGAAATATACTACAAAAACAGTAGCAATAAAATAGATCACAGGTAGGTCTATACAATTAGCCCGCCGAAAACTATGAGGCGCTATGCTGACTAAGGGATAGAGTTCAGCAACAATTTCGCCGGTCCGCGCTCTGGGAGTGCCCTCCTTTGTGAATCGTAGTATCTAAATACATGTTGTATTCTGGCCTGCTGTTTTGCACAAAGCTACATGACCTCCGATGTTAGTACTATTGCTGTGATCATACTACGATCTTCAATTTACCAACAACCCGCCTCAAACATATCCAGTTTTAGCACATCCCGGTTGCGTATTTAGAGTTAAAGGTTGAAAAGAGACTCTTCACAAATCAAAATTACCCAGTTTTAGTGACTGCTTCGTAGTTGTTTGGCCCTGTTAAAGCGGTGTCGTCAGTTGCACAATCGACGGTCGCTGACACCTTTAGTGACATACAAATGAAGCCCATCTGATTGCCATGAAAATGACGTATAACGTATGTTTGTTGCACATGAAAAATCACACCTCCTATCATAGCTACGGGTGACATGTCTATGACGCACAGCGTCGACTCCTGGCTATGTAGATTCTTGGGTGTTGTGTAGACATAAAAGCAGAAAAATTTCGGTAACCGATGCACCAGTTCGCAGTGCAGTGTACTGTTTCTATTACCGAAAATGCGGGCTATAAAAATTGTTACAGGAAAACATAAAAGAAAGAATAGGAAAAAAGTTAACAAGAAGTTGAAAAATGAAAAAAACGGGTAAAATATTAAGGCAAAACAACAACCAGATTCTTGGTTACACTTTCCCATCTTCCAAATCCCTCTGACTTCATGCACTGTCATCTACTTTCTTGAAATAATGCTAGTCTATTACTGCTTCACATCCTCGTATTTCAAACAGGACAGCCGAATCGACATCAGCCACAAAGACTTAGCGTTACAATTGGTTTGCCTTCCACGAAGTTGCAAGTAACTTTTGGATCTGGCACTTACTATCCTTTTGTCATCAGCATGTGAAGATAAAGGAGGAAACCAAGACAGTTATTCGGTACCCAAACACCTATGATTCTGGAATGTTGGATGGATTGTGTTCAATTACGCTGCGCTGAGACAAGCTAACCGATTGGATCGAACCAACGAGCCTTAGAAAGCGCGCTGGGTTCGGATGTGAAGGACGCGTTGGTCTGACAAGGGTGATGGGTTGGTGGATTTCGTGGTTCCTTACAATCATCGGATTTCCCTTCATATGTCTCTTCGGGATCTTAAAGCATGGATATGTTGCAGTGTACAAAACGATAAACAGCAGTATTCTGGTCGAAGTTTTTCCTACTTTGAGTTCTGCATATGTAGGTTTCTGCTGCCGAAAAGTGCAATCAAAATTAACTTAGAATATCACCCTCTTAGTCGTATCTGTGACATTTGTTTGCGCTGCAACACTGTTCTTTTTTCGAAGGGTGAAAAACGAAGGTCTGTCCTCAATTTGGTCCGTCAACCATGCTGTATTTAGTTATCAGAAGGCCAAATTTTTCGCGTGACATTCCCCGGTTTAGAAAGCGTGACAAACTGCGGTACTATGCGGTTCACTTTGGCAGAAAATTTAGCGGGTTCACGGAGAAGCTTAACAGCATCAGCTCTCCTGACGCTCGCCGTGAACTTATGGTGGCGTTTGTTAAAAGGTACGTTATGCGCATTTGGTTGGCATTTTCAGGTTGCTTCATATTCCAGATGAAATGAACTCCATCACGTTAAATCCTTACCGGCTTCCAGAGTCGTTTTATGAGCCGGACGAGGACGAAGATTCATCGTATCCTGATGACTTGAAGTTGATGATCAGCTCCATCAGAGTGTTCGGGCACCTTGAGAAGTCTTTTTTCATCGATTTTTGCAAATTTATTGAGACCATCCACTTGGAAAGTGGTGAACATTTATTCCGGATTGGAGAACAGGACGATAATGTTTACGTCGTTCATACAGGAAGGATTCAAATTTTCATCGTTGAGCGCGTAAGTGTTTTAATCGAGGGCTTTCGTCAATCGTCGTATTGTTTCCGCATGTACTTTCCTGCATTCCACACAAGTCACCACCACAGGATGTCGAATACCTCCGCCGTCACCACTATCGAAGACGTAACATCTGATGCCTAACACCTATGGTTTCCTTTCGTACAACCACAATACATTCAAAGGTCGTATTACGAGAAAAAGAAACAAAAATATGCTAAGAGTGGATTTGATGCCTGACTCCACCTGCTTCTGTCTAGGCTTTGGCAAAATGGCAGTACCCCTGCATCGTCCTCCCTTCAGAAGGCTTGGCAGCTGCGCACCGAAAGAATGTTCCAGTTGAGTGGTTAGTGCCAACCCACCACAAACACTAGGATGCCTCCAGATATTCCCGTGGGCACTGTGGGTATAACTAACAATTGCAATTCCATTGATACCTATTAGCAACCATATCTTTCAACGTCTAAGCATGTGCAGGAGGATCACGTGGAACCCAGTCTTAAGAGTGGATTGCACCGTCATTACACAGGATTTTCGAAATCGCTTTCACATCCCTTTGCCAGGCGAATGGTTGGTAACATCTGCTTAGGCCACTCCGAATGGGACACGGGAAAAAGCGCTCTTTTGGCACATGACTATTCGGAATGATCAATATACGGCCCAATTAGCGCAGCTGGTATTGCGCGGCATTTACTTTGAATTAACCTTCTCTTGCCTAGCCGTACTTCACTTTTCTAAGCACTTTATTTCGGGTTCACCGGCATCAGGTTGAACGAGCCCTGGAGGATGAGACAACGCCTTCGAAGACCTGGACACATCCCATTTGGGTTGTTCTCACAGGCCATCTCCCTTGTCATACAAAAAACACTAGCTTTGAGCTCGAGGTAGTCCGTTTGCCAAGGCTCGAAATGAATGACTGGAAGGTTGTGGTTCGAACAGTCTTGTCTGTTCGATTGTTCCTGCCTAGGTTTGGGCGCCCTGGCAGTATCAGCCCGCGTGGTTCGTTCGTGTTGCACGATAAGCGCGCACCAAAGCTGTCACAGCTGAAGGATTTATTTTATTTCTTTCTGGGGTAGCAAACAGTTCTCTCGTCTGAATTCCACGGATTTGTACTTAGAATAATATGTCTAACCAACCTGCCTCTCACCTGAGACATTTGGACCAGGGACGGATGTCATTTACCCGGACTCCTTGAGGGTGTTCGACGGAGGACAGCATCACATGCTGTTTTAGAAACTAGCTACTTATGGTTTTATTGCCTGTCTTAGCTAGATGAAGGGTTGTCTGAAGCACCGCACCGTCGTAGTTTGCTGTCGTGGCTCTTTTTAGCGATTCAGCCATTCAGCTATACTGCAGCGTGTTCATGTGATATAAACAGAGCCTCATGCCAGGTTGGTCAATGGTAGAGGTCTTGCCAACAGTCTCCTGACCCTCTATATTGAAAGATGAAACATTCGTGACTACTTGTCCTTTAAATATGTAGACTACGCTGGTGGTCTTACGCCAAATTCGACTGCCTTACGGTTTTTTGAGCCATGGGATTTGATTTACGGCCCTGAACGCCTTGGCACTTTCCCAAACCACGTGCAGCCGTGGATAATGCAGTTACATATGATGATCTTGTCAGAATTTTGGATAAATGTCTGCCGTCTTAATTTGGATATGAGACTCACGGACAACGGAAATAATCTACTTCAGATGTGTGCCGATCACAGACTGTTCCTTTGCAGCACCCATCTCCAGGACCGCAGAAATCGCTTGACGACGTGGTGCTCATCAACTCACCAATCCCGAATCCAAATCGACCACACCGCCATCAGTTGCCGGTGGCGAGGGCCGACCACTGCCCGCCGCTACCGGAATACCAGCGTGGCCTCTGACCATGCAGTTACGCGCTGCTGCATCTCAGCTCTGACGGAAATAGGTCTGATAAAGTCGGTGCAGGTATCTCAAAGTCCGAGATCACGTTTGATGTTTTTCGTTAATTGTACCATCATAACGACGTATCACGCAGTCTTAACAGTTGTGTGTACCAAGCTACAGCAGGTGTTGTGTTGTTGTATGGTTGCTAAACGTGGCCTCAGAGGACAGACGATGTGAGGCCTCTTCGGGTGTCTCAGGGGCTTTACTGCTTTGGATGGCGTCAACAGGTTTATTACAAGGTAATTAGAAAAGGGTTGGTTGTGTGGTAAGCACTTCAGTAGCGGAAAACATCCAGCTCCATCAACCGCGGTGGATCAGTCATGTGCTGCGCATACCGAAACGCCGTCTGGCTAGACGATTGTTGTCCATGTCTCCTCCACATTTTCGCAAACCGCAAGGTGGACAATGTATCACTTTTACAGAATAGTGAAAGAGATTACAAAAGTTTGTTTTGTTGGTGCGGTACGCCTTTCAGAATGCGATCCGCGTGACCTTTCCGGAGCTTGGCTGGAGACAATGTAAGAAGTGGCGACTGACCGGTCTCAGTGGCTTTCGTATTGTCATTTCCTTTCCAGATTGCCTGATTGAGCGCCTGGAAGTGTAGGCACCTCAGAATGCTTGCGATTGTTCATCACTGGGTTTCCTCCCTCACCCACTCTTGTCTGTTTTCTTGCAAAGGTTTGTAATATGGTTAGACAAACTGTGTAGTCGTACGGCAGTGAAGCATCAGGGTCAACACTGATGTTGATGTCTTTGACCACGATTGGTGTTGATTGCCCAAGGTTTAATGCTGATATGCATGAATGTCTTGTATATTTGTATCGATGAAAATACTAATCATAGTTCCGCTGTAACACTTTTTCGGTGCCTGACTGTGATGTCACCCTAGGGAAGCACGGGGCCTCAGGTACTGCCAAGTTTCCCAAACGTGGACAGAAGCAAGCGGGATATCAGGGTTGGTTTCGAACCGTGAACTTTTGGGTTAGTAAGTTCAGACCCTAACCACCAAGACGTTTGGGCTCAGTCCCCTTGCAGAATGTTCGCCAACGATATCAAGCTCCAAAGAGCCACTTAATGCTCAGAATACCAAAGGATTCCCCATGCCTACCTTTTTCGCAGCCAAATAGCCAAAAGCGAACTAACTGCCGTCCAACGACGAACTGTACGTATGTCTTCACTCACCCCCTGCACTTTAGACCCCCGCTTAATTGTTAGAGCGCGAATTAACTAACCAGAAGGTCCGTGGTTCAAACCCGACCTCTGCCTCTCGACTTCCTCTGTCTAGGCTTGGGCAACCTGGAAGTATCCTACCCCTCATGCTTCCTTTGGGTGGCGTGACGGCTGGGCACCGAAACGTTACAGCTGAACGATTATATCTATCATTATCTTTCACAAAATCGTAGTTGAAAGAGCTTTCGAATTTGCCAATCAGCACGATCTATAAAATGTGGCTCCGTGGGAGAACGGTACTGAGCATCGTAACTTCCACATGCATCAGACCTCATGCCTAATGTGCCATTTAAACCTGGAAGCTGTAGCCGAAATATGACAACAGGTTGCTAGAACAAACTCACAAAACTGGTCGGTGTCTCTACTTGGCCTCCTCAAGAATATTCTAGCCTGACAGTCTATACTCGGTTGCTTGTAGGTCACGGGATTGTTTTAACTTTCTTTTCTAAATCTTTCACAACCATATCCAGTCGTATCACTATCTGCTTGCGTTTACCAGTATGACGAACCTCCGCGAACGCCGGAAAAAAGTCGCCCACTAACCCAGCCATATCGACTTCTGTGGTGACTTCCGCTCTGTGTCTGACATTTCCGGAACCCCTTGACTTTTGTTTTATGTATACCAATGCCAGCAACTTTCAAAACACGACTCAACCAGCACATTTAGTCGGTGCAGTTTTCAACCCGCAAATGTCGACTACATCCGATAACAGCTGATACACTATGGAACGAGAAAGATGCACTCTGCATGCAACCAATCAAACCCAGTGAAAGATAAAGGCAGCATTTGCTCATTGTGGTTATTGCTCTTGCGAGATAATCTTATCTTGGGAGGTTTGAGGAACTGTCCAAACACTGCGCTGCGGTGGTGTTTTGTCGGAGTGATTAAAAAGGCTTCAAGACCGTGAAGAGTGTAAGGTGAAAACCGCCCTTGCCAGATGCGCTGTTTCATCTAAGGAACGAAATTTCACGCCAGATTACTATTACTTGCGGAGCTAAGTGCCGGTTTTCCACCCAGTTTCATGAGACTATTACGAAGATTGTCTTGATAAAGACCGACCGAACTGTTTTCTAAAACGTCCACCCCCATCGTTGGAGTCAAAAGTCGCGTAGGAATCCCTGGGACATTCTCTTCCGGAATGGTTAAGCTGATCATTTAAACCAGCTTCAATAGTGTGCTCCTGTTTCCTGCCGCGAAATCTTTTCATACTATAGGCTTTCGCAATGCATTAGGTCCCTTTCATATTTCGGGCCATTAGTGAATGTGAATTCACCGGCATCATGCATTTACCCTAATGGGTTCCATCGCTATACTTACTAGTCACTCCACAGTTTCTCTCAATTGAACTATATGGGGACTTCGTAAATGATAATCTTCAAGTAAGCTGTCCTGTCACTGGGTATGCACTTAGCAAGGTGAGGCGTATGGCTCACCTTTGGCACCTTTCAGTGCTGTCGGATGTCGGATATCCGTGATGATATGTTCCGTAAGATCTTAATTGATTGATCCATAGTTGAAGTTTGTTCGGTCAAAGTGTCTGAAGCGCACGCCATGTATGCCAGACGACCACGTACTAATAACCGTTTTTTTATCGCCTAAGCTCTTGTTTTCAAAGTTTCGCAAGAAAAAATTCATGACTTCCTAGTCTGAAGTGCAAGCTGTTGTCCATTCAAGTGCTCTGGTTTCTGCCCACTCTTGTGGGTGGAGGCCATGTGATTCCTCTTCCGTGGGGTTAAAAACCGCATGTGGCATTGCACACTCTTATCTAAGAGACAGTCGTGATGACGCGTCCTAGTCGAACTATCTGGCCGTTTTTCTGGCGTTTCCTCTTGAGCTTCTATTGTATGTGGTTCGTCAATCGTGCTGGATTAGCCCAGTTTACAGCATTTTACTTCAACACGATGCTCAGATAGGTTTATTTCAGTGGCTGTGGTAGGTTTAGGCACTTTGCTCCTTACCGCCTTCCTTAGGGACATAGGAATGTTTTGCAACAGACCTCTTCTCACTCTTTACTATTTACTTCCATCGGGTGGGCATTGTAGGAAATCACCACTCCGCTACTGCTGTGGCGTTGAATACTGTTCATGATAGTCGTAAGATCTGTTTACAGTTTGAACCACACCCCTCGGTTCGGTCCGCCAATCCAAATCTTCGGGTTTGCATGTCGGTCTTTCACTTAGTGAGAAATCGCTCTGTTAAGCGATTTCAAGGACTCGCCGTTAACACTAACTAGTTAAGTACAATGTCAACTCGGTCCACTTTACTTGCTTTATTCTCACAGAGACCCCAATCTCCCAATATAGTGACCCTACCCTCCTACAACTTTCCATTGTTTCTGTCCAGGCTTTGGCAGCCTGACAGCATTTCAGGCTTCGTGTTTCCTTCGGGTAAAGTGGCAGCTAATGACCGAAAGGCTGTCACAGTTGAATGATTTTTAAACCCGTCTCTCACCTTTCTGTAATGAACTATCAACTATTTTGACGTTAACTCCCGATACATAAATACTTTTGAATGACGACTAAGTTTTCTCCGTTTTGGTTTTGCTAAACGTTGACTGAACGGATGCTTCATCCCGACCCTAGTGTGAAAGTCTGCATTCTCGAATGACCCCCGTTTTTTTCACACTTATTCTGCCGACCGTCCGGCCAGTTTTTTCGCCACCAACTCTCTTACCCAGTTTGCTTTCCAACCCGTATTTTTGATCGCGACGGCCGCACTCTTCGGACGCTTAATCTTTTTAAGCGATCCACCTAATAACTGTGTCCATAAAACAATTGACGATGCTGACCTCTTCTGTCCCATTGGTTCTTCTACTTACTGCCGTAGCGATCTTTCCCACTCACTTCCCCTCTCAAGACCATATTTCCTCTCTCTTCACGTAACGTAGTGATGCTCTTCCACTGACTGAGATGGTATGTCTAAATTTATTAGCAGTTTTCCTCGGAAGTGCTGTTTCTTCGAGGACGCCGCGTTCCCCCATCCAAAAAATATCATTCTCCTTTCTGACGGCTTGAGCCAAAACCACTGAAGCAGTCATCCCCAAAATGGTTTCACTATGTATGTAGTAAAGAAGAAAAATGGATTTTACAGGTCGTCATTATCATCGACAGCATGACATTAGTGTTCAACACCGATGCTTTGCTGCCGTAGATTTTACAGGTGTTGGCGGAAGTATCCTTGTCGACATGTGCCGATTATGTTTCTAATCTGTTGCTCATCTGTAATCAACAGAGTTAAAGATGAATTCGTTGCGCGAAAGGTGGTCCAGCAATCGAAAGCACAGACTGGAAGTCATTCCTTCTGGAGTGTGACCAATTCAGTCAGTTTCAACGCTTGTCCTCCACATCTTCCATAATTTACACATTCAGAAGTCCCAGGTCACTGCCGTCAGGGGAAAACAGAAATTGTTCTGCCGATTCTCATCTCTATTTAGTTCTGTACTGGTCCACCCATCCCTTTTGGACTCATTTTTTCTGATTATCAATACGAGGAGTATTCACTGTCTCCTCTCAAAACTGATCGACTCTAAATCATCTGGTTCCGATGGTATCCCTTCTTTTTTGTTTTGTAACTCGGCTCTTGAACTCGCCTCGGTCATCCGAAGCGTGTACGGTTATTCTTACTGGTATTTCCCCTTCCTAGTGGAGAAATTTCTTTGTCCTCCATGTTCCCAAACATGTCTCCCGCTCTGACCCCCGAAAATGCCGGCACATCTCCCTATCCTCATTGTGTCCAGATCTATTGGAGGGATTTTAACCTAACCGCTTCACAATCTTGAAGACTATGCCCTTTTGAGTGGCTACCAATATAAGTTCAGGCGCCACCGGTCAACTGCTAATAAGTTAGCTTACATGTCACACGTGCGGTCTTCCTCACTTGGTTCTTCTGATGAAACGGATGTGGTTGCCCTCGATATACCGAAGACATTCTGCTGGATCCGGCATGCGGACCTCCTTGTTGTGCTTCCCATTTACGGGATTTATCCGTAGTTGATCACCTGGATTAGAAGTTTCTTGTATATCCGTTATATGCAAGTGAGGATAGGTGACGTTACCTCAACCTCAGAAAGCCAGCACTGGAAAGATTTTTGCTCACCCCACTTTGTTCCTTCTTTATGTGGACGATTTCTGTGTGCCATTATCTCTATCCGTGACTTAGATGATGCAATTCAGCGCTATGCCTGCGACTCTGCTAGTGCTTTGCTCCAGTCTGACTGTGCGACAACCGGGCACAGAGCATCATTTCCCTAAACACCGACCCGACCAGCACCCTCGACTGGGGATTTGCGATCTTAACAACGTGTAACCCTCCGGAATCCCTCCATATATTCATCCTTCATAGTTTCAGTCCTGATCTAAACTTTTGATTGCATCTTCCACCATCCTCCGCTTCTCTTTATTCACCTTGATTTGCCTTGAAAACTTATGAGAACTTATCGTGCTCCACACTTGTCAAGGTTCTCGTTCAATTTGGTGACGCTCATCTAGCCACTAGTCACTACTACAGTTGAAAAGCTGTCCTTATCTCGTCGCATCTTTACAACTGTTTGTCTTTTGCCTAATTGATAACCTTCAATTATTCAAAAACCGACTTAACGTCCATCTCAGTCCCTCTTGAGGTTTGTTTTATTTAATTTACCGCTTTGTATTGCATTGTGTTGTTACTGACTAGGAGTTTTTGGCTGAGGGTCCTCCATTCCTCCATAGTTCTCCTCTGTGTACTCCACTATCCCTTCATTTAATCACCATGCCAAACCTATAAGGTTCTCTGTCCTGCGAGTTAATGCATATGGACCTTATACTTTTCACCGATTGAAACTGAATGGTACGAGAACAACCACCGAATAATGTGGTGTCTAGTTTATTCCCGAGACACCAATTCTGCCCTCGTTTCACTGTTTTTATTGGGTCGTGTATGACGTCAAAGGTGTGTGTCACTATGCAGTTCATCTTGATCCCTTCAACAAGGCCACCCAGCTGCACGATTTCTTTGCTACCCCCAGCTACGTGTTCGACTGGCTCCCTTTTTCGCTGGCATATTACTGTCTGATTATGATGGGATTTGAGTGTCAGCGATTTTAGTTTAGTAAACTGATGGCTGTTCCATGCACAGCATCCATTTTTCTGCGGTTTAAATATTCCTGAAGCACCGGTTATATTTATGTTGCATAAGTCTAATTCATCATGCGCACACTTCCTTGGATGAGTGAGGTGACGTAGCTTTGTATATATATATATATA